TGCAGCTCTATCGGCAGAGAATGCAGCTCGGCCTGAAGCGTGTGCGCCACCACGAGCGGCGCCCCTGCCTCCGCGTGATCCCCCTCTGCTCGGAAGGGTAGTCTCAAAGATGACATTTGGCGTGATGGGCAAGGCGTTCCATTCGCGCCTGCTGATGGGCTTGGAAACGGGCGCTTGTCCTTGTCCTTGTCCTTGGTCCTTGTCTTCCTTTTCCTGAGCTCTTCTGCGTTCCTCCTCGCGGGCAGTCTCCATGCTGGGCCATGCCACTTCATTGGTAGGTGCGGGCGCAGGCACCGCTGCCGACTGACGGTTGCTTCCACCTCTCTTGACCGTCTCTGTGGCAGAGTCAGACGCTTGGCGGACAGTGTTGCTGCGCTCACTCTTGAATGCCGTGCCCTTTCCATCTTGGGCCTGAGCAGCAGTCGGGCTGGCCTTCTTCTTTGGCTCTGTCTTTTGCTCCCGTCTTGCTGTCTCCGTGCGCGTCGGTGCTGGTGCTGGTGCTGGTGCCTTGGACTGGAACGTCTGCGCTCGCTGAGCCCAGAAGTTCACGGCTGGTGGTGGAGCGTCTGTGAGCTTCGGTTTTGGTGTCTTGCGCTCTTTTGCCGTCTCATCGCTGGCCTCGGATCCGCCCTTGGTCTTTTCCGAATCTGCAGCCTTGGTGGTGGTGGTGGGCTCGGATTCTTGAGACTTGCTGTCCCATGTTGATTCGGAAGAGGCATTTTGCACAGATGAGCCATCATCGTTACAGGCTGATGAATTTCCAGTTTCGGGAGAAGTGACACTTGAGGCGGCAGAATTGCTGGACTTGAAATCTCCATTCTGTCCAAGCTTTTCTTTCGAGCCACTATCGACCTTGGTGTGGTCAAGCGTGTCTGCATTCTCGGACCAGGAGCTGCTGCCTGGGTTGGCGTCTGTGGAAGGAGTGGCTGAGCCGGAGACAGCTTTGAAAGAAGGTGCTGAGCGGCCTTGAGCGGCCTGCGCATATGAGAAACCCGACATTCTAGTGGATTATGTGAGGCTGTGGACGACCGGATGGATGGATGATAGAATCCGAGAAGTCGGTAACCCCAAGACGGGGAGTTTCGAAAATTTGATCAGAGATTGCGCAGTCGCTCTTTCTGTCCGGTGAGGATCGACTCAGACCTCCCCGCTCCCTTTCCTCCAAGACCCTTCACTGCCTTTCCTGGTGGGCTTGCGCAGGTGGATGGATGGATGAATGTGTTGTGTTTAAAGAGGTGTGTGAGAATTGGCGAGCGAATTTTATTGAATAAGTGTTGTGCGGGGTGTACTAAGATTGCTTGGTCAGTAGATGCTTTGGCGCGAGCTGAAAAGGCTGAAATTTGGCGATGATATGATGGCAATGATGGCGATGAAATCATGCCGACCAAGGCAGTTTGCTAGTTTTCACCACCACACGCACGTGGCCATGTGTGTTGGTACATCCATTGGCCATGCACATGCGGCTAGACACAGAAGCTTCGCTGGCAGTAGTTGACCCTCTTTCATGAGTGCACACAATACGGGGAGAGATATTGCTCGGCAGGCAATTTCGGGCGAAAGATGTACCTTTTTGAAAAGTGACAGTGACCTGCGAAAATGGTATCGTTACCGGCGTATACCGAGTGAGCCAGCTCCTTCACTTGGTCTAGACACTTCCACAATCGGATGGAATGCGAAGTTATTGTCTGAGCAGCTGCGGCCCTATGCGATAGAGGAAGTCGAATTACTGAGGTGGTGTAAGTGTGATCGTTTGGTTCTTGATTTTCGGAGCGCAAGCAAAGCACGGCCTTTTTCGAAAGTCGATCGCAGGCGGGTTTTCCTCGTGCGGGAGAAGCGGGAAGCTTGGAAACGGAAAGCGCAGCGGCTGTTATGAGGCAAGACACTGCTTTTACTAACCGAACCAAGCTTTAAATTTATTGAACCGAAGCAACAGTACGAGCAATCAAGAAGCATGAGACGAAACGAGCATGAACAAAGTGAGCTGAGTAAAAGCGTTCTCTTGTGTCAGACAAGGAGCTACTCATGCATTGCCCCTCTCGCACTGAAGTGGAGCAAAGAAAATACTGCTCCCACTCCTGTAGGCTGTACGAGTAGCTCGGGTCCGAGCAGCTTGCTCCCGAACGACCGTCGGCGGAAGGCTTTCCGTACAAGTCACTGCAGAGGCGCTGGCAAAGCCAGCCTGAACGAATGTCATATACTCATGCATACCCCTCCGCTCTGACACGTGCGAATGCACGAAATCGGGCCAACGTGTCACAAGGTCAATCTATTCCATCGTGAAAATGCAGTTCAAACATCGTAATATCTGTCTCGGTCCTGATAGGGTTCTCACCAGATTGCTGCCAATCTCATACAAAGTCAATTGTGCAGGTCTATGCGTCCAGCCGCAAGACTGCCGAAAGCCGCCTTTAAATCGCTGCCTGTCATCTCCTGCAATCGCTCACTCTGTCTGATACGTCTTCGTGTAGCCAAAGCTGCATTATCAATCTCCTTGCAGTCTCCAAGTGGTCCGAATGCAAATAGCCTCTCCGCCGACCAGGGAGCTTCTCCATTGACGAAAAAGATGCATCTCCTCTGCATCTCCTTGCTCAATGCATCTGCTGCGGGGTTCATGCTAATATCAAATCCTCCGAAAAGATAAAGCAGATCCACAGCATGGTGTGCCCTCGAAGAAGCTTGCCATGGATTGGCCTGGTCGAACAAGTATCTGTACGCCTTCTTCTCAGCTCCACCAAATAGCTTTGATATGACTAGTGATGGTACCACCCATATCAAATCTTCCATAAAATCCAGCGCGCCATGCTTGCTCTGAGTCGGACGTGCTTCGTTGATGTGATAGGGCTCTTTGAGCTCTTTGCTAGAAGCGCCTGCCTTGTCAAAGCACTCGACTATCTGCGCGGCTGTCATGGCTTCCACTCCATTTCTCCATAGTACCGATTCGAACTCGCATTCTCCGATCAACAGCTCCTCGACCTCGCCGGTCTTACCTTGCCAGTCTAAGAGGCAGTCTTCTTGTTGCATGAATACTGATGGGACAGGGATCTCTGCTTGTGCCTGGAGAAGGACGTTGACTGGAGCCTCTTTGAGTGATGGGTAGCCCTTTTCCTGGACTCTTTTCAACACTGGTTCGATTGGGAAAGCTCTGGCATCAGCTTCAGGCCGTGGTGGTGACATATATAGAGATCCTGACATGAGGATACTACGTTTGACTCTTGCACCGCTCGCTACTAAGCCATGAACAAACACTGCGCCTGCACTTTCTCCGGCAAGTGTAACGTTTGTCTGGTATAGTCAGCATATCGATGTTCTTGATACGGCATCCGTACTCACCCGGTCACCACCAAAGCTGTCAATATGCAGTCGCACCCATTGTAAAGCAGTTTGCTGATCTTTGAAGCCCAGGTTTTTCGTACCTTTTCCATCACCCACATGGAACATATTCAATCTGTACTGGACCGAGACAATAATTATCGGCTTACCAAGCTGTATAGAGTCTTGGACAAGCTTCAATGTGTCTTTTTAAGATCTTAGCGATGGCAATGATTCTTGGGCACAACAACATACCGCCAATCTTGCTTGCACCATTGCCAAAGCTGATGATCTGAGATCCGCCATGAATCCATAGCATGACTGGTAGCCTATCGCCCGACCCTGCATTTGCAGGGGCCGTCACGTCCAAATTCAGGCATTTGAATTCATCCTCGCTCTCATCGTAGAATATGTTGCCTTCTGGTGCCCGCAACAAATGCCCAACGTCATACTTGTTCTGTGGACAGCGAGGTCCCCAGCTCTGGCAATCAACTCTGTCGCCATTCTAGTCGCTCAGGAGGGTCGGTTCGGCGAACCTTTCGCTTACGGCCCCATACTGAATGCCTCTATATTGTGTACACGGCCCGAGGTCCACGCCAACAAGGGTTGCATTCAGCGTGTCGTGTTCGAGCTCGGGCATGACCCGATTATACGAGTGGATATTATCAAGGAGCATCACTGGTAATTTTCGTCACTCTACCTGACCATTGCATTTCTCGGTCTCTAGGTCTACTCGTAAGTTGTACTGCTCCACTCTCTCGCTGACCGTCGTGTTGGGTCTCCCACTTCGGCAATGAACGTACCGCCGCTAAGCTATGTACTTCACACCAGACCGCTTTTCATCGTTTTATAGCGCAGTCCCGAAAATTGTCGTCGCTATCATTGTACCTTATTAACTGATCCACCTTTACAGGGTACAGGCTTCTAGACTTCTCTATGATCAAGACATTAGCTTGAAGCAAGCTGAACTCTGCACAAAACTCGGGACTATCGGAGATGATGTCGTCTTGGCAACTGGCGGGGCTGACATTCTGACAGAGCTGATCGACAGGGCAGCCGTTACGAAGCGTTGCGAACCGTTACAGGATCCTGTCATGAAGCCTTCTGTGCTTCATGATGAAGGTGAGTGACTTCGCTTACCAGTAGTGACGCCAGGGTGCTACGTCTCTTGAGGTACGATTGGAACCCTTACTAGCTTCATAGCGTGTTATATCTGTGTAGATATCAGGATATGACGACACATTCTGCAAGCCCCTCATGGCTCGAATTGCGTGCTTGCCGTTTGACAGTAGGCGTGGCTCCTATGAAGTACAGCAGATGCCATGTAGTCCATGTACTTATGGATACAACCTTGCCCGGCTCAGGCAATGGACGTTGTGGCTTGGCATTTGCAGAGTAGAGCAAGTAAAATATCATTCTGGGTCGCACAAAGTGCCACTCACATGCTTCCATCAGCGATGCTTGCGCATACGCGAGGCTAGCCAATCCAGTGGTGTATTATATCTCAACATGCCATTAGTGTAGAAGCACGTGAAAGGCTGTCATTGAGGACGAGGGGGACCAATCGTCTTGATCGAATTGTAAAGATCGTCACTTCGTACAAAAAAAAGTAAGCGAAAATAAAACAAAAGTGCGGAGTAGAAGAGTAGAAAAGCAGAAAGCCTGGCCCTGGAAAAAGTGCAAAAAGAACATAGCTAAGACTGGTTTCGATCCAGTGCCCTCCGGGTTATGAGCCCGGCGCCTAATTGGAGTTAGTGTATATTGGAGAAGCCAAACTAGTAGTTGAACTTACGCTTCCGCTGCGCCACTCAGCTGTACCATGCAAGAACAATTTCTGACATCATATATATTGATCATTAATGATGAGATCATGACTTGCGGTGTTGGACCTTTCTTCGCCATCGACATATTAGCATAGAAAACGACATCGATATTTTTTATCGATATTCATCAGTTTATTGACAGTTTCATCTACAAGTCGACTCGACGAGTCGGACTATCCAACTCCCGTCGATTTTAGTCAAAGGAAAGGGTGCCGCCCGACCATCCTAGCAACGCTATCGCTATAGTCGCTCCCACCCCATCTCTATAGAGAGTAAGAGCAGTTATAGCCGCCTAATGAGAACTACTAGACAGAGCAGCAGAGGGTTGATTCAACCTATCTGTTCTCTCAGCCTAAGTAATAACGTTGTTTTTATTAAAGACATAATAAAACGCCTTATTAAAGGAATAATGAACGTTTAGAACAGCAAACTTAATAAGATGCTTAAATAACTCTAATACTAAAATAAGTAATTCTAATACTAAAATAAGCAACTCTAGAATTAGACTAAAGCTTTTTACTAAGAGAATGTCACTTTACTAGCGATATTTAATATTGTTATTAAAAAACTTAATATTGCTAAGACAAAGCTCGACATTACTGAAATAAAACTTGAATAATTGCTTATAAGGACTAAGGAGCTAAAGGAAAAACTTAAACTCTTATTTATTAAATTAAAGGCTAATATTAGAATTCTTAATATAAAAATTAGGACTATTAGCTTCAACGTTAATAAAGGAAGAATAGTCCTTTTAACCTTTAAACAATTAAGCTTATTGTCCCTAGCTAACCTTAATATAATAATATTATTACTAATTTTATACGTATTTACAATATTAAAATTAGTTAATCTATTATTGTTAGCTATCTAACCTTATGTAAGCAAAGGAATGCTATTAACTCTACTAACTTTTCTAGAGAAGCTATAACAATTCCTAAGCATTATAATTAATATTAGCTAAATGCCAACTAAATAATATAAGCTAGCTATAAATAGTAAAGCTATAATAAAAAAAAATTAAGAAAGCAATTACATTTTAGCTATTAGTATATATAATTACTATTAAAGGAATTCAAATAAAAGTAAGAACTATAAAAGTCATTATTTAAAACGAAAAAGATATAGCATAACTGCAATTAAATAATAAATAGGTTTATTAAGTATTTAAAATAGCTTAAACTTATAAAGAGAATTGCTTGCTAATCAAAGTTAATAATATACCTAGAATAGCAATCCTAGTACTTAGCATTAGTACAATCCGCTTAGAGTTTATAGCAGCATTTATAGCTAAAAATAAGTTTATAAGCGTTATTAAGGCGTTCTAGCTATTTAAAGGAGAGAAACCTGCTAGATTTATAATAGTCTACTTAGCTATAGCTGAGGATGCCTAACAAGCTTTAGCTAAACAAAGTTTAAAATTAATGAAAATATAGCTATAATTAGCAAATACTAGAAACTTTAATGCCTCTAGAGATACTATAACTGCAATAAATACAGTTACTATTAGGCTAGGTGTAGTTAACTAACAAAATGTAGCAAATATATAGAGAATTATAAAACTAATAATTATAAAGCTACAGCCTCTAAATATGTAGCATATAGTAAACTATATACTGCTATAAATGTAAAGTGTTTTATATACTATAATAAGATTAGCAGAATCTAAAAAGGAAAACAATATATTAATTAAGCTATTTATAATAGAGATAAGGAATAGCAGATTATTACTAATTAATAAACTAAATAGGAAGTCACTATAAGCAATATATAATAGGAGATACTTATTTCCTCTTAGCAAATATAAATAAACAATTCCTAGTTTAATTCAGCCTTATTAACAATTTATCTATTAGCTAGTTTATAGCAATTATAATTATAAAACTAAATATTACAAATATTAATAGTAAATTATATATTTCCTAATATTAATGCTAGATTATTATAACTCTATCTACTTATTAAGAAGGACTAACGTATTATACATTTTAATTAACATTTTATATTTATAAAGATGTTCTATTTATTCAGTTCTTTATATAGTTATTAAATATAACTGTAAGGGTTATTACTACTTTAATAAAAAGTATTTTTATTATGTTAATCTACATTCTAAGCTGTAGCTGATATGCCTCCTCTAAGCAGGACCTAGAAAAGGCAGTTACTACTAGGCTCAATACGCTAAGTAGCGCTATTTAAGAAGCAAAATTAAAATATAGAGAAAACCTCTTTATTATAATAAGAGGCAACTTTAATTACTATAACCTAATATAGAAAGGAGTTAATATGCTATAATTACAATATATAGAAAAAAGTGAATTAATGCTTTAATAGATGCATTAATATAATACCTTTTTAGCGCTATTAAGCAGCATAGTTATATTCCTATAAGGACGCTTTAAAACTACTATTAACTTTATATTAATGTCTAACTTAATAGAAAACTAGGTTATAAAATGCAATATCTATCTAACCTAATATAGATTGGACTATAAAGCTATAACACTTTAAATTGAAAAGGTTAAAATAGTCGCTTTACTAAAAGCTAAATACAATTTTAAAAAGATAAACTAGAATATAGCTATTAAAGCATTTAAAGAATAGAAACTGTTAATTATTAATATTAATAATACTATTAAGCTTAACTAAGCAATTATAGAGATTAAGAATATAGTAAATTAATATATTTGCAATTATAGCTTAATAATTAAAAAATTCCTATATATAAAATTATAATAGGATAATAAACTTATTAAGCTTTATAATAAATATATTTAATAACTGAACTAGAGTAATGCATTACAAACTATAGAACTAGATAAGGAAGAAAATTTTTATAAAGCTAGGTAAGCTAAATATTAGTTTTATAAAAGCATTTATAATAAAAATTAAATACACTGGAATAATTTCCTAGCATAGATAGACAACATCTGGAAAGCAGCTAGGTACCTTGGCTTACAATTATTAACATTTAGTAATATCCTTATTATAATTACTAGTATTAAAAGCTAAAAGGTGAAGCTTAAAGATAATAAGGTTAAAGCAACTAAGCTACTTTAATACTTCTTTTTACTAGTTCTTAAAAATTGGAAAGAGAAAACTCTAAACCTTAATATAAAATATATAGACAATCTAGATATCTCTATTAAAAAGGTAACTAGAGCAATAGCTAAGATTAGTCTATATAAAGCGCTAAGTATAAACAGCATTCTAAATATTATATAAAAACGCTTATAATCCATTTTAAATAATTAAGTTACTAATATCTTTAATATATTATATTAATTAAGATACGTACTAACTACATAGAAAATAGCGTAAATCTTATTATTATAAAAGCTAGGGAAACCTGATTACTGTATAGTAAAAGCATATTACCTTATCTCCCTCCTAGCTATTCTAAGCAAGCTAATAGAACTTATATTAGTAAAAAGAATGTTATATTAGGCTAAGACTTTTAATCTCCTTTTAAAGATACAATTTAGTATTAAGCTAAAATAATTATATAACTAAGCGTTACTTCTCTTAATTAAGAAAATCTTTAAAGTATAGTAATAAAAGAAAGTCCTTTCCCTTATTAGCTTTAATATAAAAGGAGCATATAATAGCGTTCTTTAGTAAATGCTTATTAATTAGCTATATATAGAGGGAATCCCAACTTATATAGTTGTATAGGTTAACTCTTTTTATATTAATTAATTAGCTATAATACTAGTTAATAATACAGAATCAAGTCAAGTCACCTTTATAGAATCTAGTCTCTTATAAAGATCAACACTTGCTTTAATTCTAGATATCTTCTTTAACGTTTTTCTAATAAAGGAAAAGATTAATAAAAGATAAGGTAATATAGGATTTATGAATAACTATATTTAATAAGCTATTTCAGAATTAGTAAAATAGAATATATTAATATTTAATAATAAAGTTATTTTAAAGGCTTTCTAATAAGTAAAAGACAGTAGCGCTATATTTGAAAGTAATAAAACAATTCTTATATATTTTATACAAAATTATAAGAAGATTAGCAACATTGACCCCTTACTTAGAATAAGCAATTATATTATTAAACCCTCTACAAAAGAGAGAATCCTAAGAGTTATTTTTAATGCTAAGCTGAGATTTAAAGACTATCTAGCTAAAGTTAAAATAAGAGGATAGAGAAGCACTAATTAATTTAAATGCCTCTTCTATATTAGCCTATAATTAGCATAATAACTATATTAAGCTATAATAGCTTTAAAAACAGACTATATAGCTATAATATAGTATTCTAAATCCTTAAAAGGAAAGATTGACAATAGCACAGCTAAAGTCCTTAATTCTATATAAAGAATAGGAGCCTAAGCAATTATTAAATGTTTCTATATAACCTTAGTTAAAGCATTCAGTACTAAAGCTTTGCTTCCCCTTTTATATATTTAGCTAAAATTAAAGATTAGCAAATTCTAAATAGGACTCTATACATTACTAGAAACTAACCTACTAAAGGTACAGCTTAGAAAACTGATTAAGAAGCTTAGAGCAAAGTTGTTCACCTCTCCCCTTTATAATATAAAAATACAGCTAGGAAAAATAGAAACAGAAATAAAAACTATTTCAGTATAGGTTACCCTACTATAAGGCACAATAGCAGTTAACTGCAAATCTGATTAATATAACTCTAATAAAGCATATAAAAACTATTTTAAAATAAAGGATTAGCATCTGAATATCTTTATTAATAGCTTTATTGCTAATAGCTAAACAGGAGTTAGAATAGCAATATACTCTAAGAAGCTTATACTAATATCTACCCTCTTTTAAAAAGTCAAATTAGGAGGCAGCATTAATAGCATAATGATAGAATTAATTATAATTAAAAAAGTAGTAACTTTAGCTAGAATCCTATTAGAAACACTGTATAGCTATAGAAGGCTAATCCCCTAAGTATCAATATAGTCTAACAGCTAAATAGCTATTTATATAATTAATTGCTAGGTATGCTAGAATAA